CAAGTGGTGCAGGCAAGTGGTCAAGTGGTGCAGGCAAGTGGTCAAGTGGTGTGACTAAAGCAAGCCCATGTTGGAGAGAGTCTAGAAAGAACCAGTCCGGTCCAGCAAGTACCACGGGGGGAACTGTGTGCACCATGGGCCAGGGACACAAGGCAGACCAATGCAGCACAGAAGTATAAATCAAGAGGCTGCGTCCATTCATTGATGCATTCCTGCGGATGCCATGCGGAAGCGCTGCCTCGCAGCTTGTGCGAGGAGGTCTGCAGAGTGCCCGAAGACGAAGTGGGCAGAGGAGTAGAGTGCAGCRATAGGTMGTGGCAGCTAGCGCTGCCATAGCTGTAGCCTAGCATGTGTGTGTGTGAAGTGTGATACTGAGTGTTGCGTGTGGGACATCCAGGGTGATCCAGAGTGCGAACAGTGAGTTGTGTGGGCGCTCAGTCGCCATAGCCAGTTTGAAGAGAACTCTTATGTGGATACGATATCTTGAGTACTGAGTGGGCGCCTGTCGCCAATTTGCTGTTTCGCTGTTTGCATACATGACAAGTTGAATAATCGTAGTGTGATTTCAATCATCATCATCCATCACCATCATCGTCATCCATCATCATCATCATCATCACCATCATCACCATAATCATCACTGTCATCCGCTGTAAACCGATCGGCAACGCACCGCGACGCAACGAGTATCTTCCCCCCTGAACTCTAAGGCCCAAAGATGAACCAGACAATAATACCCACGTCCATCATGGCAGACCATAATACCCACCGAGACGAGGGTGATGTTGACGCTAAATTGCAATGGTGATGGTGATTGTGATGATGATTGTGATGATGATGGTGATGGTGATTGTGATGGTGATGGTCATGGTCATGGTCATGGTGATGGTGATGGTGATGGACCCCGATGAAGCAGGCTAACGCTCCAACTCCATCATCATCATCTCACCTCACTCGCCCATCGCCGTCTCCATCATCATCATCATCATCATCATCATCATCATCAATAATCACCAATTATCACCATCACCACATCCATCGCCGTCTCCACCATCATGTTTATCACTACAGCAACATCACCAATGCCAGTCCACACTGTTATACCATACTATACCCCGCAGACGTACGAGATCGAACCTGTTTACCGAATTGTTTATCGACTAAAGAGGCACATTCACAGTCGCACAACCTTTCGAATGAATCTACCTATGCTACCGAGGCCCGCACTTCTTTTTCTTTTTTTTTTCTTTTTTTTTGGGGGGGGGTCCTGTTAGCAAAAAGTTGGTCTCAAACTTTCCTGGAGGTTCTCGCCCCTCCAACCCAAGCTCCTCGTACAAGCAAAAATCCCATCGAAGCGAAACGAGCACTCCTCCTACACTACTGTATTATCATCGTCAACACTCAGCATTATAGAATCATCATCATTTTTATTTTTTTTTATTTTTTTGGAATCATCATCTTTTTTATTTATCTAGATGATGACTATTTATCTAGATGACATGATGGGTCAATGATTTGCTTTATTTGAATTGACTGTAGCGTGGAGAATCTGCAATTGGGCTCTCGCTATTACTCCTCTTGTTACTACTGTTCTAATTGGTGGCAATATTGAAATCTACCCAAACCAAAACAAGTGGCCCATTTCCGCTTAAGAAAGGCGCCTAAAACAGAGGCGCCGTAGATAAGAATTAAGAGGAAAAAACACCATAATAATCGTAGTCACACTGTTCTCATCATCACCATCATCATCCTCATACACCTTCACATGATCATCATCACCATCATGATATATTGTCCCTGTCATGAAGGCATCATTCTCATCATCATCATCATCATCAACAACATTCATCATCAGCATCATCAATCATCATCAATCATCATCATCCATCATCATCATCTTCAATCATCATCATCGCTCATCATCAACGTTCTCACCATCAGCATCATCATCAATCATCACCATCATCAGTCGTCATCATCATGTCATCACAATCACGGTCATCATCATCATCATCAGCAGCAGCAGCATCAGTGACCATCATCAGTGACTATCATCATCATAGTCACCAATCATCATCATCATCATCATCATAGTCACCAATCATCATCATCATCATCATCATAGTCACCAATCATCATCATCATCATCATCATAGTCACCAATCATCATCATCATCATCATCATAGTCACCAATCATCATCATCATCATCATCATAGTCACCAATCATCATCATCATCATCATCATAGTCACCAATCATCATCATCATCATCATCATCACCATCATCAACCATCACCGTCATATCCGCGGGGGGGTGTCCAATCATCACTGTCACATCGAGGCGGGGGGGAGGGGGGGTCCCTTACAGCTTCTCTGCGCTTACGCACCAGGCACAAACCGCCATTTGTGTTCCCCCGGTAGCAGCAAACCCTATCCAAAACCCCACCAATTTATTTATTTATTTATTTACTTATTTATTTATTTTTGTCTTTTCATTGGCGTTCGCCGAGGTGGACGCTTCCCAAATATTTTCAGCGGCCTTTCGGCCCCTGAGGGGGGTTTAGTTTTCAACCAGCAATAGACGCGTCTCGGTTAGCCCTGACAGACTGCGTCATTGCCCCAAGCGCACAGATCCCCCCATCACTTTTACTTAAACGTCGGCAGCCAACTCTTATCCAAAACCCATTTATTTAAATGTATTTATTTAAATGTAAGACGATTGCACACACAACAAGCAAAACCCATTTGTTCACAAGTGTAACGCAGAATTCTCAAACAAGAGAAGGATTAGGGAATTTGCCCGCTGCGTAGCGCTCTGCATTCGGCGTAAATCGATAGCGAGCCCGATCGGTATTAAAAAAAAGAAAAAAACATTAAAAAAAACGGAAAAAAATTAGCGTCCTCGCGCCGAAGGAGCTGCTGCTGGGGTCAATTAGGCAAAAAGCTTTGGTAGAAATAAAAGCGGATAACGACGATCCATCGTCATCATCATAATCATCATCATTATCATTATCATCATATTCATCATCATCATCACAGACACCGTCATGATCATGGTTGATTGGGCTTTTCCAGTGTAAATAAACAAACCACTAGAAAATATTCGTCTTCGTCCATCATCGCAAAAGCTATCACTTGCTAATTACTAATTAACGTCTTACACAAACAATCAGAGATTATCCAGAGCATCCTGATATTACGAAACGACGATCAACGTACATCAGCAGTGAAACAAGCG